TCTCCATTCTCTTTGTAAAATGTAGTTTGATACTAATGGTGTTCTGAATACAATGAATTAGTAAGCTCTACCTAAATAGTCACACTCTCAGTCTAATTAAGTATAAGCCAATTAACTATAGTCATGAATACATATATATATTATATGCACATTATATATATTGTGTGTATATATTTTTTCCATCTAGATTATGCACTTACACAGTGTAAACTAAATGTCAAGTCCCTCTCGATAAGTATATCTAGAAGGAAGTATATCTAGAAGGACTTGACGTTTGTTTGAAAAGCATTTAAGTTCTTATTCTAATTTAAATTAACTAAATCTGAAAATTGTACATATGAATATGGGATGGTTTATGGAAGAGATGTCCACATAGAACTCCAATTTAAGAACCAATACTTAAAAAAATCTTGGTTATTTATCAAATGAGTTGTAAATTGACATATATTTATAGTTTCCAGTTAAAATAAAATGTTTAAGACATATATCATTACTAATTTTTTGCTTTAATCCTTTTTCAATTAATCATCCAGCCATGTACACACAGCTAAGTACATTAAGTGCCTACGAAATTGTTCTCAACATCAACTGTGCTTTTTTTAAAAAAATCAAATGCCTATTGGTCCAATCCTTATAGAAATGAATATGGAGTTGTCTCCAAACATTAAAAATTGTATCTGCTGGGCCTCCCCGGTGGCGCAGCGGTTGAGTGCTGGGCTGCGAAGCTGCCCGCGGCCTCTGCGGCGCCGGTTCGATCCCCGGCTGCTCCCCAGCCACCGAAGGAGGGTCCCACATGGCGCGCAGACCTCTCCTGCCGCCTGCTGCTCCCCTCAGCGGTGTACTTCGTCATTCTGCCTGTTCTGCTCCCCGCTCTGGCTTTGGTGAATTCTCTCACCCTCCCGCACTTCTGACTGTACCCAGTGCATGTATAAACAAAACAAACAAACAAACAAACAAATAAATAAAACATGCCTCTATTAAAAAAAAAATGTATCTGCCATTTGACCCAATGATTATACTCCTAGGCAACTGCCCAAAAAGTTCAAAAACACTAATTTGAAAGGAAATTTGCTCTCTCGTGTTTATTACAGCACTATTTACTATGGCTAAATTATGGAAACAACCTAAGTGCCCCAGAACAGATGAGTGGATCAAGATTTGGTATATAAACACAATGGAATACTACTCTGTGATCAAAAAAGATAAACTTGGGTCCTCCCTGGTGGTGCAAAGGGTTAAGCTATCCACAGTCACTACATCATGAGTTGGATACCTGGCTGGCCAGGGAGCAACCCACATGTCAAAGCAGACCTCTCCTGTCTTGCCCGCTGCTCCCCTCAGCAGTGTATTTCAGTCAGTCTGCCTGTTCTATTTCCCACTCTGTCTCTGGTGAATTCTCTCACCACCCACATCTCTGGCCTGCACCCCAGCTCTTGTATGCATAATAAATATTTTTAAAAAAAGATAGACTCATGAGATTTGTAGCAACATGGACAGAGCTTGAAAAAAATAATGCTAAAGTGAAATTTACCAGATGATGTCAATAACAGGTAGACTATAAAGTAACTAAATTAATAGTCAGAGAAAGACTAGCCAAAAAAACAAATCCTTGATACTGACTACAGAACTCAAACCAAGGGGGTTAGTAGGTTTGGAGGGGAAGTAACAAAGAAGGAAGGAAGCACAATGGTCTATGGTAGAATATGAGTGAATGGGTAGTAGGTGCACTGTGGTGGTAATTCCTGATGGGGGTATCCCAATATTACCTCAATTAAAAACTAATTAATTAAAAAAAATCAAGTGCTTAGGCTCCATCCCCAGAGACTTTGATTCTCTAACACTGGGATGGAAATAGTAATCTCTTTTAGACAAAATTGAGAGCCACTGATCTATGTAGTAAGCACCCTAATAATGATATGGAAACAAAATAGATCTGCCTTTCAAAGAGTCCATAGTACAATGATAGCGACAGAAAATATATTTTTAATCACAATAAGATGTTAACTTCACACTCCAAGCATATTCCTGGTGCTGTAGGAAAACAGTAGAAAAACCAACTCTGCCTGGGGCATATAATGAAGAATATAGCAGTCAGAACTAGTTTCATGGTGGTAGTGTTTAATCTTTGAGGTAAAGGGTAACCAGTAATTTTCCAATTAAAGTTGGAAGGCATTTCTAGCCAAAAGAAATAGATTAAGAAAGGGCATTGTCACATGAAAAAAATATGTTTGCAGGGAATGACGTATACTTAGTCAATCAAGGAAATGATAGGTAACAGGAAACTCTTCTGAAAGGAAGCATCTACATATCAGGTTCAGCTGTTGCAGTTTTTTGTATAGAACAATTTCAAGTTGTATTTTATAGAATTCATGTTCAGAAAAGGCAGTTTGTATATTTCATAAATATCTACATATGGGCATTCAAATGCATACATACTTAAAACAAACTGCAGTTAACTAGTGCATTAATTTGTGTTTTGCTGACCTTGAACCAAAATTTCTTCCACTACTTCTGTATTTTTTAAATTTCTTACATATGTATCTCTGATTATAAAGATTGTTTATTTTTTTAAGACTAGCAGATGCTCTACTAACTGCCTATGGATATTATACAACAAAAAAACAAATTTTTACTGATTGTATAATTATTATAATTTATAAAATAAATACATGCCAATAAGTACCACTTTTATGTAGTAAATGTAATATTTATTGGGATTTCATGTAAGACATTATTTTGTAGAGTATCACTGCCCCAGGGAAACTAACAATTTGTAGCAGGGAAGTGAATTGCCATGAAATAACCATTACTATGACAAAATGAATTAGAATAGGGAAAAACAAGAAGTGAAAAGATCAGTTAGGAAGTGATTTCAATACACCAAGCCAAAATATATATATATATATATATATATATATATATATATATATATATATATGATGGAATGATGAGAAGAGAATATTTTTCAGAAAGACCAAGGAAATAAGATAGACTTTGATGACCAGTCAGATAATAAAGAAGAAAATGGTTTTCAAAGGAACAGATTCTAGATTTATACTTTAATTTTGGCTACATCGAAAAAAGAGTACCCAGAAGGTGTCAACTGCTTAATACTCAGAATAGAATGTTCTTTGCACATTTAATCAGTGAGTCCAAGTGAAGTTCTCATTTTAGTAACCATTCTAATTTTAGAATTTCCTTAATCCACTTTGATATATTTTATTGTAGTGCAGATAATCTATAATGCAGTCTGATAACCACTTTTTAAAATTAATTATGTTACTATCCAAAGTACTTTCCCCATTAAGATTTCTGTAATATTAGTGTTTAGCTTATGAATTATGTATTCTTAAAATATCTTTGCAAATTGTTAACTAATGTTATTATAACCCAATGGTTATAGTCATTGCACCAAGTACAAGATGATTTAAAGATTTTAATTTACCTTTTCCATCTTTTTCAATTTATATATTACCTTCCCTAATTGTCTTGTCTGATATTCCCAATAACCTTATAAGGTGAGAAGAGCAGAAATATCTATTGCCATAATGTAGATGAGAAAATCAAGGCTCAAGGTGGACAAATGGTTTTCTCCAGATTATATGAATGGCAAATGGCAGAGCTTTAACACAAATTTTCTGACTCTTAAGCCAATGATCTCTCTCTCTACCATGACCTGTGTTTTTGAAGTAGTGCATATTTTACTTCTGCACTTTACATTACTGTCCCTCTTTGATATAATGGAAAGAGGACTATCTATATATCCTTTATTCATCTTTCATTCACCATTCCCCCAAATTTTTTAAAGCCTCCTCTACAGATTTTACAACCTAAATAACCCAATGCCACTATGTTAAAGAAATCTCTTTCTCTTGCCAATTTTTCTACTAAAACTCTCCCACATCATGATCACATTCATGACCTTGAGAAATTGTAAATTTTTTCAAAATTTTGATATGATAATAGAACATAAAACTTACTATACATAATATATTCACCACAAAAATAATTTTAACACTTTCAAAAAACTTATTGAACAAAAAATATAGTACTTAATTTTGTAATTTCAAAAATTTACTGTCTCTTTTCATGTACTAAAACACATATTAAACTATATTCATCTGTATCATGCATATGAACAGTTTAGTAACTTTTTTATTGCACACGGTAAGTCAAAAACACATTCCTAGATAAACCCTCCACAAAAGGACAATAATCACTTTATATCAAAAAAACCCCAATATCTACATGTATTATTAACATAATATTGATTTTACAAATTCTCATCTCTACCCATCAAAAACTTTTTTGCTTATTAATTAGAAATTCAACATTCAAGTATAATTTCCCCAAATATTTCCTAAACCAGAGCACAGGCTATTTTTAAGTTCTTACAAGACTTTACTCGAATTAAGTAGCATTTGTTCATTCACTTGTTTATAAAAGATTAAGAATATGGGAGGTTTTAGTCAGAATTTTAAACAATGAATTTAAGACAATGCCATTAGATTTAAAGATATATTCATCTAGCTATTATCTACTTAAATCTAGCAACATCTTGATAGATTTAACAATTTTACACTGAATTTTACACTAAAATAGTAAAATGATTAGTTTCTCTGGATGACAAAACAGAATTCACTAGAATGATGATTTCCTACCTCAGTTTAGTACTTACACATAAAACACTATATTTAAATATTTGTCCACTATTGGACCTTAAAATTATCTTGCAATTTCTACTTTTTATGTTTGCTTGTTCCCCCTTTAAACTACTACTGCTTTTTAAGTTAATGCTGAAGTTGATGCTTGGAATAGCTTTATTAATTCACACTGACCTATCCAGAGTTCTCTGCACCAGACTCTCTGATGCTGACATTTCAACAATTTCCAGTCCCTAGTGTGTTGTGGTTTCCTTGGGGGCGAGGTTGTTGTTGTTATCTTTCCTTTTTCACAACAGTAAAACAAATAAATAGGCTTTAAGTCCATTCAAAACTTACCTTGCAAATCTGGAAATACTCTGAAGTTAGGGTTTCTTGAATCTCCTCTCTTAGAACCCCTGCAGTCCCTCCTGGATGCTGGGAACCACTTCCAGCCCCACCACCACTGTTGCTGCCACCACTGCCAGGGGAAGAAGCCGTTAAGCCATCCAAAACTTTTCGGAAATTAAATTTCTTCATTTTGAAAACTGTTGAGAAATTCAAAGGAAAGAGTGACTTAACACATGGAATTATACGCAGGTAAAAGTGTTCAGCTTTTCATCAGTCAAGGCAGTAGCTAGTTCCCACTTAACGAGAACTGGCTACAGATGACTGGAGGGAAGTCAGACTTCATCTTGTCAAATTTCAATTCTAAAAAACATATCCTTAAAAAGCACAATTCTAAAAGCAACAATATTTCCTCCTCATACATCCAATTTCCAAGGGCTTTTCCCCAGCTGTAGCTACGCTTTATCAGCACTGGGGTAAAAATAAAAGGCAGTGTCATCATCGTCATTAGCATTATATCATCATTATTATACAATCAAACCAGAGTCCAACAGACCAACACTCGCTCGCTCTGCTTTAAAGGCGGGCTTTCCTTCTAAAGGTTCAGCTCAGAAAATTTTATTTTCAGAAAAACAACGTGGGGGGTTGAGGACTGGTATTTATTCCGCCACCACCTTCTGGGCTCTCCTCAATTATCTTAAACACTTCCTTTTTCTCTATAGGAAACTGGGGGGCCTGGGGGGCTCTATAGCCTGGACTCCAAAGCCTCTGCGGGTGACCCACAGCAACAGCGGACGGGAGGGGCGGCTGCGCCGGCTGCCTCCGCTTCTCCCTTGCCTCTCCCTCCCTCCGCGCGTCTCCAGCACCCTCCCAGCACCCTCCCAGCACCCTCCCAGCACCCTCCCCCCTCCACCCTGTCTGCCCGCAGCAGCCCGATCTGCGGGTCGCCTCTCCCCGCAGCAGGGCAGCGGCTCCGGGGACTTCAGCAGGGCTGGTGACAGCCGCGGCCCGAGTCCCGCTCAACCTGCTGGGTGCGTGGAGCCGCTGCTCCCACGGTCCCTCCCCGGGCCGAGCGCCCAGCGCGGGGCTGTGGCCCGCCCGAGCACACAAACACCCTCCCGCAGACACTCGCGCGGGCTCCCGCTCACAGACACACACACAGGTGTTAGGGAGCCGGCTGGACGGCAGCATCGCGTCCCAGAGGGACGCCTATCTGACTCCCGACTTAGGCACCTTCCTCAGCCGCCACTGACCGCCTGCCAGCCCGGGAAGCTGCGGTGCGGAGGGAGGCGGGCGCAGGCGTGGGTCCAGCCGGGCTCCAGCCGCCTTTCAGGTCCCGCTGGTCGCAGCGCCGGGCGCTCTCCGAGGTCCTGACGGAGCAGGAGCAGGCGAGGCTCCACCGCAGGCTCCGCCCCCCCGCCGTGGGCAGCAGGCCCCGCCCCCGGACCGCCCCCTCGCTCGCCCCGCCCCCGGCCGCGAGGGCCTCGAAAGGGGCGGAGCGCGAACAGACGTCACAGGGCGGGAGAAGCCTCCGCTCCAATCCTGGACTTGATAGGACCAAATTCCGCGGTCGCGAGGCGCGGAAGGAATTTGGGGATAGGCTGAAGGCAAAGCTAATGGAAGGGGGCGGGAAGAATTTAGAAAGGTGAGGGAAGTATTTGATTGACAGCGGTGCCGGCCAGTAGGCTTGGGGACGTGCTGTGGGGGCTGTAATTGGCGCTACCTGTTGAAGGACGCGGGTGTGAAGCAATAGAATGCCTGCGAGCGTTCGAGTTCGGGCTCCTTGAATCCCAGGCAGCAGGAAGGGTTTTCTTGGGGCTGACTCTAGACTATATTGTGAATCGGGCAGGTGTTTTGCAGTTTGTCGCCTGTATGAGCTTCTTCCCTTCTTCCCGCCCTCCAGGTGTATCTAATTGGGCTTCTGTCATTGCCCTGCTATTTGCATAATTGCTTAACTGGTCACTGCTGCCAGAGAAAACTGTGTTTCAGTGCCTAAGAAATTAATTGCTCACCTTGTTCTCGCTTACGAAGAATGACCCTTTCCTCCCATTTTCACATATACAGAAGTTTTGTTTTGTTTTTTAAGAAAACGTTTTCCGGGCCTCCCTGGTGGCGCAGCGGTTGAGCGCTGGGTTGCGAAGCTGCCCGCAGCCTCTGCAGCGCCGGTTCAATCCCCAGCTGCTCCCCGGCCACCGGAGGAGGGTCCCACATGGCGCGCAGACCTCTCCTGCCGCCCGCTGCTCCCCTCAGCAGTGTGCTTCGGTCCTTCTGCCTGCTCTGCTCCCTGCTCTGGCTCTGGTAAATTCTCTCACCCTCCCGCGCTTCTGACTGTACCCAGTGCTTGTATAAATGAATGAATAAATAAATAAATCTTTAAAAGAAAACGTTTTCCTCACTTAAAACCCCATTGAGAAAATATTTTCAGCTTTTTGTATGAGTCACAATACCGATTTTGAAAGGTGCACTATTGGATGCAGGATTTTGTTTTAATTCGAAACGGCATTAGGATGGGAAGGTTTGGTTCTAAGCACTTACTTGCCACTGAATTAGGGGAAATTTAGACTTTAGTCTGTGAAAATGAAGGGCAGCTCAGGGGGCCATAACTAGCTGTTGACGTCAATCTGGGCAACACAACAGATTAGTAATCGTCCCAAATACTCTTATATCTTTCTACCCGGTATTTCGATAGCTGGACAGTAACACTCATGAAGGCAGACATAGAACTGTGTATTTCTGTCTTGCTTAGTACTGCAAGACAAATGCAATAAGTGATTTCTTTTTGTGGGAATGAAAAAGAAGATACTCTGATTCATCAAAGTGAGATGTAACTTCTGCAAGGAAACCGGTAAACACTCATCACTAACAGTATACTATCTTAGCAAAACAGTTGTGGCTCTGTTCTAAAAATTGGAGGATAACTGAGAATAAAAAAGCACACTAAACAGATCGAAAAGGACTGCTTGAGAACCCTGGAAAGAATGCATTGGCCTGCTTGAGTTCTAAAGGGGTGACAGAGTAGATAATATCTCTTCAGATGGGACAACAAAATGTGAAAGAAAAGTCAAGTCAGAATACATAAATGTTTCCAAATATTATAAGTCTAAAAAAATAGGCACTATTTTAAATATCTTTGTTTCCCCCACTATGTATAGTGCTTATACATAGTAAGTGTCTGGTAACTGTTAATTTTATTAAATGACCGTAAGTGTAAATATGGACATAAGTGCAATCCCATAGAGATAGAGAGAACCTATGGATAGAGGCTGTTGTGATGCCAATTCACAAACTGTGAGCAAAGGATAGAAATAAGCAAAAGATGGAGTGTATTATATTTGTGAGGAGATAACAAACAATAATAGCCTGGAAATCATACTAGGTGAGAGAAGCACAATGAATTATCTCTGGAAGCAAATCCCATCTTTAATTAAAGAAAAATAAGGTATTACTTTATAAACCATCTCAAATGGAATGAAACTGAACTGTAATATATACCTTATAAATAATGTAGGGAATTTTAGAATTGGGTCAGATAGTAATGGTAAGCTTTGATCATTGTACTGCAAATTAGAGTAACTTATGGAGAGAAATTTCTGAATAAGTCTTTGTAAAATGACAAACATGAAGAACTGCAAGAAAGAAAAATCCTCTAAGCTTAGCCCTTGAAGCAAAATCATCAAATCATTTAGACAAAGGATTTCTGATCTTAAGTTTTTATCCAGCAATAAAGTGAATAAAACTGCTTTTCCACACCTTAAAAACAATTAGCTAATTGTAGAAAGTACATCCATGTATGACACTTTTGAGAAGCTCTGGCAAACTGCGCTTAGAGAAAACTAAGTCAATTTGATGAAACACAGTGGCCCCTCATAAAAAGATGGTAAGTTCTGCCAGTTATTTAGCATCTATATACCAAACACTATATTATGAACTTTACAAATATCTCTTTTAATTTGATCCTTATTACAATTCTAAGAGATAGATGTTGTCACTATTTTGTAAGTGAGGAAATTTAACTCGGAAACTAAGAAATTTCCTCACAATTACTTAGGTGGATAAGCTGTCTTCAAATTCAAAGCTAACTTCTAAGATCATGCTCTTAATAACTACTTTATAACTAATTAGAAGATTAAATAGCTGAAATAGGAAAAAGGTAGGGTGGGGTCAATTTTTTTGAAATATATGTATATGTGTACTACATTGCCAGGGCTGCCATAACAGAACACTAGATTGGGTGCTTTCTTACAGTTTTGGAAGCTAGAAGTCTAAAATCAAAGTGTCAGCAACTTTGGTTCTTCTGAGATCTCTTTCTCTGAATTACATATGACTTCTTTTTCACTGTAATTTCTCATGATCTCCCTTCTGGGTACACATCTCTAGTACCTGTGTGTCCAAATTTCCTCTTCATGTAGGGACACCAGTCAGACTGAATTGATGTCCATTCTAATGGCCTCATTTTAACTTAATCAATCTTGCAGGCTCTATCTCCAAATACAGTCCACATACTGACATACTGAGGTACTCAAGGTTTCAATATACCAACTGGGGGTGGGGGAAATGTGGGGTAAGGAGAGGAAGACACACAATTCAGCCCATAACAATAGGATAATTAAATTCAACATTCTTTTTTTTAACACAACATTATTTTCAATTTTTTTAAAATGAGCATCTACTATTAACTGGAACTGTGTGAATAATTTTACATTTAGTTACTCATGTAATCTTCATAAAAATCATGTATGGCAGCTATTGATCACTATTTTAAAGGTAAGAAAATGGAAGAAAGATTAAGCGGTATGCCCAGTATTATACATCTTGTAGGTTGTGAAATAGGAATTTGAACTCGCTTAAATCATACCCCAAAGTTCTTATCTCCTATCTTTGGTTGTCTTTGGAGAAACCAACAAAGTCCAAATTTAAATGTTAGAATAAAACAGAACAGAAAAAAAGGGAAAGTATATTCTAAGGAGTTTGGATACTAGAACTAAGAAGTCATTTGGGAATTGAGAAGAGTACTAGAAGCAAAGAACTCTGGTGCAGCAAGCTAATACGAGGTTCTTATCTAATAAGAAATCTCAGTATAATTTGAAATACATTAAAACTCCCAGGAGAGTATCTCACTAAAATAGAAGAAAATCAGTTATTCAATAACTAATTAGACATAGTAAGTTAGTACTAATTTGTTCAGAAAGGCTATAGTCTCAGGGAACAGCTGGAAAAAAGATCTTGGCTGGAGGAAAGGGGATGACGCAAGACGTACCATAAGCCTAGCCCTAGCCCAGCAATTATTTACATTAGCAAGTGTGGACATTTCCAATCTGTTTGCTGGGAGGTACTGAGAAATCTAATTTGTCACCCAGTTCTTACTCCTCAATTAAATTATATATCATCCTTTACTATTTGCCTGTCTAGGAGTTAGAATTTCATTAAGAGAACACAGTTGAAAAACAGGTTCCACCTATATCCTTTATGGCAATTTTTTCAAGAGGATTAGAAACTATCTTTCCTTCTTAAATCTTCCTCTGACTTTTTTCTGACCCTATTATACATCTCTCAGAAGGGATACTGGTTGATAATTGTCAGCATCTGTCATATGGCAGGAAATAGCCACCAACATTAATATCCCTATTCAGCCTACTCCAAGCCCCCAGAGGGAGAAACCACAGGGTTAATTAAATAATGTCATAGCTCTCAAGGGTTACAGATAAACAGGCAGGGGTCATTAGGATAGGCCTAAAATATACAAAGTATGCCTCACCACACAATCAGTGGCAGAAATGCAAACAGAACTCATGCCTTCTTGGGCAAAAGGCAAATATTTGCTACTAAACATATAATTAAAAGCAGTTCTATGTGCATCTTTTAAAATGGATTTTCATATATCCTTCTATCACATTTGGATGTAGTAAGAGAAAAAAGGTATTTAGTGTTGGGAAAGGACTAAGTTTTCTAGCCAGGTATTAACAAGTCTTTTCAACTTCTCAGCCTGTTTTTCCTTCTATACAGGAACAAATATAGGCTATTATTTTAAAAAATGAGATCATGTATGTATAAAAGAGTAATTTTTAGAATGCAAACCACCATACAAATATATTATTATTTTCATTGTTATTTTAGTGTAGTGAAATAGTTTATAGGAATTGACTTTAGAGTTGAATTTCTTTCCCCATTATTATTACTATAAAAGTCCCTTGCATCTGTGACTTGACTGTTGCTGAAATTGACAGAGGAAAAGTTTAAGCTAGGATGCTGTTAAGGTTCCTTTTAATCCAAAATTCTGATGTATTTGTATGATTTATTTAGCCAAGCTTT